TCCATGTCCCCTTTTTGTAAATAAACAATGTTGTATATCATAAGTGTCGTAATCTTGTTTATAATCAAACTTCATTTTCCTTCGAACACATCAATTGCTAATGATCTAAATCCTTTTGTAAAGCAGCAGCTGCATCCTTACAGCCGCAAACCCCCAAGACCTTAATATCATCAGCACATTTAAGTTATTTATTGAGCATTCCTTCACCTATGTCATTGATTTAAATCAAAAAGATCAAAGGTCCCCACTTATGACATTATTCCAGTTTGACTGAACTACATTTATAGCAACCCTTTGCTTTCTTTCATTCAGACATTTTCTATACAATTTGCTAATCTATTCCCTACACCTAATGAGATAATTCTTTTTCAAGCCTTTTATTTGGCACATTGTAAAATGGTTTCTAAAAATCTAGATCTACTAAATCTACACCCTTACCCTCATCTACATAAGCAGTAACCTTTTCAAAGAATGTCCAAAGATTTGTAAGGCAAGATTTTCCCTTAGTGAAACCATGTTGACTATCCAATAAAATTCTAAACTTTGTTAAATGACTTTGCAAAGCATCTTTTATTACACTTTCCAAAACTTTTCCCACAACTGATATAATAATAATAGGCCTATAAACTGGGACAATTTTTATCACTTCCTTTGAAAAGAGGAGTAACATTAGCCAACTTCCAATCCTCTGGCACCTGTCCACTACTCAAGGACTTACAAAAAATAGTAGCAAGTGACTCGGGTATCCAATCCTTAACCTCCTTGTGGAAAGACTGTCAGGCTAAAGAGCTTTATTGTTCTTTAAACTTCCCAATGTTTTCTTAACAATCTCAAAATCAATGTGATCATCTTGTTTCCATCTACCAACTGTTCAAGACGAGGAATATTTCTTCATTAGTAGAAACTGAAGAAAAAACAGAACTTATTAACCCAGCCATCTCATAATCATCAGATACAAGCCTTCCTTTAACATACCTCAAGAGCCCTAGCCTCATCCTAACATTTTGTTTGCCCTCAACAAATACTTTTAGATCTAGAAGACAGCTCAGAAATGTAGGAGCCAGGTGTGCCTAACCTAACATCACTACCATTTGTACCGGGAAATGAGGGCTACATATATTTATTTACTTTCACAGCAACAAGTGCATGCTAATGATCACATTATATCAACAACCACTTGCTAGTATTGCCTGAACTAACTGCCTTTGGTCTCATACGAGTCTAAACATGCACACTGATTGGTTAAGTCGAGAGAAAGAAAAAAAAAGGCATGAAATTAGTAACATGTTGTGCAACCACAACAAATAATTCCTGTGAAAAACATGAAGAGGTGCTGAATCCCCCACTAAAATCATAAAAACAAAGTTTGATTTAGAACTTGAATAATGCAAAAATAGTTCCAGACTTCCAAAAGTCCAGAACTGTTCTAGATTCAAGTTCATTTTAGCACAGCCCTATGTACAAATAAAATGAAAAAAAATACTAGGTGCCACAGTGAAATTTGTAGTCACCATGGTGACCTGGCATCAGGGATTTGTCAAGGCTTGCCTTAATGTATCTAAATAAATCTTACTGTTAATTTTTACATTTTCAGCCAACCTTTTTTCATACATCCTTTTTGAAGTCCTAATTTCCTGTTTGACCAACTTTCTTGATCTTCTATAATCTTCTAAATCTCCTGTCATACCAGTCAATTTAAATTTCTTAAGTTTGTGATGCTTTTCTTTTAATTTTATCCCTTATACCCTTTGTGAACCAACCTGGATTTTTATTATCAGGCACTCTTTTCTTTCTATAAGATATATGTTTATCATGAATATTTAAAAATTTTCCACATTAGATCAGTCTCCAAATAACTCAGCTGCCCAATTCACAACAGATAATTCTTGTTGCATCCCTTCAATTTATTTTTTTTTTAAATTTGTAACCAAAATATCATTATTCCTCATCTCCATATGCAGCAAAACATTGAAAAATAATTACTTGCACCCAGATGTTCTCCAATTTGCACCCTCTCAACCATTTCTATATTAGAAGCTAAGGATAATCTAAAATAGCATTGTTTATAGTAGATTCCTTAACCAATTAAGTGAAAAGAAACATCTTGAAAAGTTTCAAAAAACCTTTTTTCCCTCATGATTTGACTCTAACATTTCCTACTTTATATGCCTGAAATTAAAATCATCCATAATTATAACCTCATTAACAGCTGAAATCTTAATCTCATTGTAAAGTTTCTCAGTAATTTCATCAGTATCGTTTGGTGGTCTATAACAAATTCCTACTAAAAAAAGCCTTTTATCCACTAATAGAGACTCACATGGATTCAATATCCTTGCTATTATCTTTGATATCCTCAGCTTCAACAGGACGTAACTCAGACTTTACATATATAGCAACCACCCCTCTTTTTAGTATTCTATCCTTATTAAATAACCTATTAGTATAATCTTGTATTTCAAAGAAATTTCTGTCCTCAAAATAATCTACATTTAACTATGTTTCAGTTATTCACATTATATCAAAATCTGCCATTTCTACCAGTATTCAAGTGTCATCTATTTTATTTCTTATACTTCTAGTATTACAACAGTAACAATTAAGTCTACCCTTAAAACTATTCTATATTCATTTGCTATGCAAAACTTTTCTCTACATCTTATTTTTGGCATTTAGTTTATTATGGCCATCACCACTGTCTAGTCCTAGTTTAAACAGCTGAGTTAATTGCCCTTGCAAACAAACTAACCCCTGCCATATATATAAATGTAAACAATACATTCCAAAAACCTCCTTTCTTCCATTAAACTGATCCCACAAGTCCAACCAGCCAATCTGCTCATCCTTACATATTAACCTAAGTCTATCATTCAACCCTAGTGACCTACTTGTAACTTCATCTTCACAGTTAATTCTTGGCAGTATCCCTGACACAATTACTTTATGGCACTTTTATTTTAATGCTTTTATCAACCCTATGTAATTATCAATTAGCTCTTCTGACCTACCTTTCCCTACATCATTAAGCTCTACTTGCACAACATAAACTGCATCACATCTAGCCCTCTTTATTATATTTCTTGCTCTGAATTATATCCTCCACCCATGCCCCTGGGTAGCATACTCTAATTCTTTTCTCCCTATTTACCAAAAGGCTGTCCTATCCACACGCTTTGTCAAAGAATCACCTAGAACCTTAAGTTTATCATTTACATCCTTCTCTATCCCTTTTGTTTTCCTTCCCTCCAAATAGTCCAATAGTTTCTCAGATGTACAAGCCAAGAGCTGAAATCTGTTGTCCAATAGAACTTACTCCTTACAATTAAATCCACCACTTTTAGCCTTAATAGTACTGTTTCTAACTTCTGAAAGTCATTGTTAGCTGATATATCCCTTGCATGTAAAAACTTAAGATCCTCTTGAAATCCTGCTGTCCTTTCCCACAATTTACAGTTTACACTTATTTTTATCTAGTGCCTCTAATTAGGATAACCTCAAACTTCCCATTCAACCTGCAATCAAGTTGCACATCTTCACTGCTAGTTTCCTTAAAAGTACATACCAGTCCTGAGTTTCCAAGTAAAACCCACTAAATGCACCTATCACAGTTAACAAACTGTGAATGCTTAAATCCTACACATGTATTAACCATTGTATTTGTAGCCAAGTACTCATTATGACCTCACTCTGAACTCCTCCATTTCTGTTGTGTTTATCACGTCTGACCACCCTATTAAAATTGTCTTATTTGCAGATTACTTCTATCCTGCCATATCTTAAATCTATGTTCCCTAGTCTTACCAATAACATTAAAAAAATGCATCAGTCCTATCTATTCATTTCTATTCCACTCCTCTCCAGCCCTTCTTTTAGTTTTAATATTAACAAGATTGAGATAACTTAATCCATACAACCACAGAGATTATTTTATTTGAGTAAATTACTGGTCTTTTATGTGGTACTTTTTCAAAAGCCCACCAAAAAATCCTGTTATATCAAATCTAAACCTTTATTCTCATTAAATGATCAACATAAGTGATACCTCTAAAGTTTAAAATTAGATTTAAATAAGATCAAATGCAGATAATTCTAGAGACAAGATTTTCAAATATTTTTCAGTAAATTAGATTGTTTTAAAGCAAAGCCAATACTATGTTATTTCTTTTCATTTTAATATTTATTTCATTAAATCTTATACAAGTATCATCTGCTATAGAAATTCTTCTAAATTTGCATAACACACATTATCATGATTATGTCTGTGCTTACCAAATATCAAAAATATTTTTCTTCATTTCCATACCCAAAGGACCGTAAGGTACACGTGACAGTACTGTTTTTTCTCCCCGAAATGGTGCAATATATCCATACTTTTGACAGATTTTAAGTAATCCTGAAAGTTTTTCTTTTGCGCACATTATTGAAATAACAAAAATTATCAAAGTTGAAGGCTAGAAGTATTAAAGTTAAATAATATCAATAATCAAAATAGGCGTCTATCACATCACTGGTGCACAAGCTTTGGTAGTAATGCGAATGACGTAAACGAGACAATCGACCAAAACGGTTAAATGTGACGTTTGGTCATGTGATTTCCTGCTTCCGTCATTTGTAGTACTAGTGATGACATAGATATGTACAAATCGATTAAACCCTAAACAATCTTTCTATAGAATTACAGCTGGTGAAAAAGTGAGAGGAAGCATTGCCTGAAAACAGTCAGGTATAAATTGTTTATTTTAGATAACCAACTAAAACTAAAAAGCAGCTGAGAACGAATTTCAATTATTTGTAACATTAACATTAGTAATCACTTACCACTTACTCTAGTCTTAGTAACAGCCAATGACAGTGACAATATCTCTCCACTCTCACTACAAAACGACACTACAGCCAACATAAGTGATACTGCTGGATTTAGGGTTGGAAGAATTCGGTTGGTTCGAGTTCGAATCCAGTGGCTAGTCGTCAAGTTGGTCAATCGAATATGAGAGTGAAACTCGGTTGTTGGTAATCCTACATTGGAGGAAAATATGCCACGAAACAGCGAACGTGTTAGTAGTCAAACTGAGAGAGGGGTGAAGGATGTGGACGACCCTCGCCGATGTGTGAATGGGTCGGTTACTTCTTGCACTGTTGGTGTGTCGCAAGACATGGATTTCGATAGGGATTGTGCTAGTAAACGAGTATGATCTGATTCCGGTTCAAGTGTGGAATCTATCGGACACAAAAAGTCAACTACGGACAGGAAATAAAGAGTTTTCATTATTTCGCCGGACATCAATATAGCCAAAGTAAATCTCATGCTCTTGAGTAGAGCCCTTAACGATATCATTGGGCCTACTGAAAAAATTCAGTTGCAAACAGATCGTATTAAGAAAGTTTGTACTTATTCACAGTCGAGATTACTGTCGCGAACAAAAAACATTTGTGGATATAAAATACGTTCTAAAATTCAAAATGTGCCCCCACCTTCTATTAGAGGCATCATTCATGGTGTCCACCTCGACATTACTGAGGAGGACTGTACATCCGTAGAGGGTGTTACGAAAGCAATAAGAATGATGCGATACAACAAAGAACTAAAACTTAAAGAACCTATAAGTTCAGTTATTCTTTATTTCTCATCTACGACCCTACCTAAGAGAGTACATCTCGGCTTTTTGTCGTTTCCTGTTGGATATTTATCCCCCACCCGACGCAGTGCTTTAAGTGCCAATGTTACAAACATACTGCAAACGTGTGCCGCAGTAATGTTCGATGTGCCACTTGTGGCGAAAATCATAATGCAAAGGACTGTACTAAGCAGACTCCAGTATGTTGTTTATGAGGGGGTGAACATTCGGCAGCTTACAAGGGCTGTCAAAATTTTCAGGAGGCAAAGGAGATTCAAACTGTTAGAGTACAGTCAAAACTGAGTTACGCCCAAGCAATTCAACTTGTTGCACAGAAACGACAGCCTGTGGAAACAAAATACCTGCCTAAAGAACCACAGAAACCTCTATTTCCCGACGAACGTAACGAAAACACTTCTCAAGAGGATAGTGCTTCAAATAGTCATCGTATGTCACCGTATAAAGAGTTGCCTGAGAATGTGTCAGAGTTTGTGAAAGTGTTATCGGAAAGGATGGTAGATATTCACCATCAAGTGCGTTCAAACTTGAAAACATCTGCTTATTCGATGAAGCTATCTTATGATAAGAGATCTACTGAAGTCAGCTTTGAACCAGGAGATAAGGTGTGGTTGTATAATCCAAGGAAGACCAAAGGGAAGTCTCCTAAGTTGTCTTCTCCATGGGAAGGCCCATATGACATAGTGGATCGTCTCTCAGACGTGATTTTCCGGGTAAAATGTGGTCGGCGAGGTAAACCAAAAGTGGCGCATGCCAACAGGCTTTGGCATTATCACAGTCCAGGACATTTCAGTTGGAATGAAGTGGACAACAGAACAAATGACGCTGCTGAAGACGTGCCACCTGAAAAAAGCCACTGTCAAAGAAGAAACTACTCAGTTTGAGAAGGGAAATGGTGAAGCTCTTGATGATGTCACTGTTACTGACGATAGGACATTTCCTGATGAAGCAGAAGCCAACGAGATGGAGACCAGTACGGAAGAAGATGCGTCCCATAAAATTAAGAGACTTTGTTGTATTGTAATTTTGTGTTTGTAATTCTGTACATTTAATTAAATTATTGTTAATTGTTATTGGTTTATTGTAATTGGCTATTGTTCGGGACGAACAATACTAAGGAAGGGGCAGTGTTACGACATCGAGGTCACGTGACTAGTCTTTTCCTTAAATCTCGTGATCCTTCTAGATATAGTGTAGTCTTGTATATATAATACCGGCCACGAAGCGACGGGGAGGTAATGATTAATTGAATGTATGCGGACAGAATATTGTTGGCCACGTGAGACGTGAGTTATAGCGTTTGTTATAGAGCGACTGTTGAAATTAAGTGTATCTTAAAGTTGTATTTGGAAAGAATAAACCAGTTTTATTTAACAAAGGACTTGTGTCGCTAAAGTTTAGTCGGAAAGAATTTACGGAAAATTAACTAACGGACTGAGACATAACAAATTGGTGTCAGAGAGTGGGACAGAAAAAATAGTCTCACATTCATTAACCCGTTTTATCGTCACTGTAACATAATTATTTTCTTAACCAACACATTTAATTAAACAGACATAATACTTTCTTCTACAGATAAAACATATCAGAGGCAGAGTTCTACTTCCTCTTTAAGTATGAGTAATGAAGTTAATTGTATACTACATGAATGTAGAAAATTCAATATTATTTTAAATGAACTGTGACATAATTAGTTTTTGCTAGTTACGTTATGTTACGACAGCGGAAGTCATGCAACGCTGGGAGTATGCACGCTGGAGTTTCTCGAAGGATCATGAATTTTCCTGGCAACTCCAGATTGTTACAGGCGCCCTCTTTTTTAGTATATAAGCCCGGCAAATAAAGCCAGCGAAAAATATAGAATTGCATAGATATATGGATATAGAGATAGATAATTGAGTCAAACGAACAGTAGGCACCGCAAGTAAAGTGTGTGAATCGCTGTGAATTATAGCGTGTGTTTATAACAGTAGTTAAGTTAAAGTGACTGTTGAAATTAAGTGTATTGTAAAGTTGTATTCGGAAAGAATAAACCAGTTTTATTT